AGATAGAGTAAACGTGGTGCGTGTATAAATATAAATAAATATAAATATATATATATTAAATATTGTAGATTTCGGACAAAAAGGCGCCTTACCACTGTATGATGTCTCCCGTCAACTTATTACGCTTGTCGTGAGGCGGTGATTGAAGTCTTGGTGTGCTCTCACGCCTGAATTCTGGTTGTTTGCCAGGTCCTTGGAGAAAGTCCAACGCCCCAGAAAGAGGGACAAGAAAGGAGTGGCTATAGATAGATGTAGCCGACGATCCCTTGCCTCGGATAGGCCCAAAATCTCCCTTCCACCATTTCTGTGCCTTCCTGCTTTATAACCTGCCCTCTTTGTGTAAAGGGAGAAGGGGAGCCGAGTAATCTGGAAAAAAGGATGGAAGACTTCGTGTAGACCTCGAGAGATAGACATGTTCACATTGTGTAAAGGTACTTGTCTACCTTTGAATTCTTGTCAACTTTTGCGAACAGTGGCACTCAAACTTACCTACTCCATGTGTGGTAAGTAGAATAATATCAATAGTCCACACGTCACTCTAGCGCCTTTACTTATCTAGTCTACATCACTCTCAGAAAAGGTTCTCAGTAGCCTCGGTATACCAGCGTTCGACCTCTTTCTACTATCTCCCTAAAGTTGACTATCAAACAACATTCATTCATGCGAGAGGACTCCCTTGGCTAAGGTTAGAGAGCAGTTCATCAAAGGGTTCTTGTTCATGTTAATTTTCTTTCCAAATTGGAAGAATTGGCCATTCGATACAAATGACATATTTTCTACCTTATCAACAGATCTTTTAGTCCCCTCGTTTCTATGTCTTCGAACTTACCATTTTTGCTTTTCATGGCCTTTCCCTCTAACTTAGTAGACGGTTTTTGCCATCGCTGCTCTATTGAGTGCCCTCTCTTTTGCAAAATGTTATGTCCAACCCTAAAATTTCATGGAATGTTAAAGTTTACAAGGTCCAAACTTCTTTTCGGTAACTACGATTCAGATGTCATCATTTCACTAAAGTATAAAACGTATATAGAGGAGATTACATGTCAATATTTGAAAGAAAAAAAGTAAATAAGTTTACAATTCCTCCTTCTGAGCTCCCAAAAACCAATAGCCTTTTCACAATTGCATCATAACCTACAGCGCATATTCAGGCATGTATTTAGGAACGTGACACATACTTTTTAAACATTTAATATATGCGAAATGTTTTAACTACAGTTTATTAGTTTCTCTTTCGATAGTGAACCAAACTGCAGTACACAAGTTCCACATGTTAACGAAATTCTTATCTAAATTTTTCTATAAATCTTATACTAAGTTCCAATGGAGCATACCTTGGAGCATGTAAGCTTCAAGGTATGGGAACTTACATGCTAATTAGCATATTTCAATTTACATAGTGTTTTTCTTGATCAGATATTAAAATTCCGCTGATGTCCATTGATGATATGTCGTCCTATATCCACCGTTGTTTATAGTTTGAAGTGTTAAAGTTATCAAGTACGAATACAAAAAGTAAATTTTCATCTAAATTATAATCTTGAGAAAAAAGTTATAAAAAATATTTCAATATATTAATTCATATTATATTTTGAAATTTGAATTTGTCAAATTGAAATATTTTCGATTGTCTAATATGATCAACCGATAAAGTAAGATAACTACATACTCCTGAATCTTATATAGATTTGCTACATTCTAATCTATTGCAAAGAATGACTATGTTATTTCAACGTTATATCTACACTTTGAACATTATAGCAGGCTGGTTTAAATTTGATAATTACCAAAAATAAAAAATAAGCTAATTTCGATAAACTTCATGTTTAATTTTGGAAGATCCCTAGAATTCACTATTTATTAGTGACAAAAATAAGAAAACTGTTGTCGACTCTGTCTAATTCATCCTCTAGGCAGAATCAAACTGCTTAGCTTGCATAATACCTTCTAATGAAAGGTTAGACAGTGTCTTGCGATGCTCATCTTTTTCCCATTTAAGCACCAAGAACTCCGATTCAACTCAGGATATGTTTGAGAAAATGGCAAAAAGTTCACATCGAAGAAAAGTAAATTTTCCTTTCAAAATGTACCAAAATTTTTTGAAAGACGAGTCGTTGCTTTCATCAAGAGCACTTTTCAATGTTAAATTGGTTTGATAAGCTTTTAAAAGGTCTATCTGTTCCGAGTTGATTTGATTCAGCACGTTTGATACTCACCTTTGTTCCATCAAAATCAATATCAATCAATTTATGACGACAAGATGGGACACATTGAATCCAATAGTGTCACCTTAAGATTGAAGATATTTGCAGCTAGACGATGCTCAAACATGAGAACCGTCGCAACATGAAGATTATGCAGAGTATCTTTAAAATAAAAACGAACGTAGATGCCAAGATACAAAAAAGAATGATGGATCGATGAATCCAATGTTAGTGAGAAAGCCAGAACTTCATGCGATTCCAATATTTCATGCATAATAGGAAGATTAGTTCTGACAATAAATCAAGCAAAATTCAAAACCATGCTGTCTGAAATAGATCCTATCTTGTCAACATTGATAAATACTTGATGGACGGCAGAAATGCAGCAATCTGACGGAACTATAATCCATGAGAGAGTTATAATATAACCAGTTGAAACTTCAAAAATTTCTTGATAATCCATGAGAGAGTTATGAGGTAACCACTTGAAACTTCAAAACATTCTTAATCATGGTCACATAAATGTCATCATTTAAAAACAAAGTTCTCGCTTGTGGATCTTTGAGAGAGTCGGCCGAATCAAAAAGCAAATCGCCGATGATATTATAGATAATTTTTTGCTTGAATGATAGAGTTATGGTCTGTTCTCTAACACCAAAATGAGAATCCAAATTGTTGGCTACAGGTGCGTCTTCTTAAAAATATGTTTTCTTGGGTACAGAATCAAGGGTTTGACAGATCGAGCACTGGTACAGATGTTGGCCTCTATGATGGCATTCATAGAGTTCCGGACCAAACAACTCCCAGGTTTTTATTCTTCTCGTGCTACAAAAATAAAAAATGTTGTTGCCCAAGAATATGTTCCTTTCCGAAATAAATTCAGAACTAGCATCGAAAAAACAACACTCGCTTGGTGATAGGATCGATATGCATTACCTTCGTACCATAGTATAGCTCGTGAGCCGGATGTGGCAATGCTTGGATGCAGCAGGGAGTAAATGGAGAGGAAATTGATCTCGCCACATAGCCGCTGATTCCGTGGTGTCTCTGATTGCTCTATCCAAAGTTAGGGTTAATTTTGGCAACTTTTTAAATTTTATTTTACTGAATTTTGGTAACTAAAAATAGATTTTCAAATTTAAACTGGTAGCATTATAGCAAACACTACATTCTTCATGATATCATGATTAGTTATCCTCTACCTTTGGTTAGACAACAAAAACATCTAGATATATAATGCATATGAAATCACATCATCTCTATTTAAAAATTGTGTTGATTGAGGTATAATCAAGTATAACACCTCATGACTAAGATAATTAACCTTTTTGTGAAATATCTAATAGAAAAATCTTAGTACTACAATTCGATGTAGAGATTGTGTATTCCATACTCACAAGTATTGAAGATAGAAATCACTAGAGATGACATGCATATCATTCATAGGTCCACGCACTAGCTTTTTCTCTTGAGTCTTAGAAAAGACCTCCGTCTTTTCTAGATCTTACATCTATAGTATATAACATGAGAGATGAAACTTTAAGTTCAATTCTAACATACCTTTTGCATTACATCTGTTCTTACGTAGGAAAGAAACACTGTGGTATGTAAGACTACGATTTATGAAATCATGAATATTTTGATATGGTCCAATGTAACCTAAAATTTTGGACCCTTTAAAATTTGTTTTACCCTATTCGACCATGTAACACATGTTCTAGTATTATCAGGCAGACCAACTATGACATCGAGACCCTTCTTCGTAGGAGACTTCCCCATTGCACCAACATTTATAAAATTACCTGACACTCAAATTCACAAGTTCTCCGCTTCCGTCCCTGTGAAGGAAATTCACAGCCACGGAATCTCCTTCACAGATTCCACACGTCCATTGTTGCTCACCGAGTCGACTGTCCCAGCTCAAAACCCAAAACCGAGTCGAATTTCCGACAGCTGAAAACCCAAAGCCTATGTGCATTTGTGACGCTGTCGGATTGCAAAACGGACGATTTGTACCTTTTGCAATCGCAAAGGTCCACTAAAGCTCGCATATGATCCGAGCTCTAGTGTACAGTAACACCTTTTAGAAGTTCGTGGCGGTAAAATCGTGAATCACATCGGGTAAAACGAAACTTGATGGTCCCTCGAGCAATTTAGGTTCCCATCAAGTAATTACCTCGTCCAATCTGTTTTCCACACAATTTGGTTTCGATCAGAAAACATCCATCAATTCGTCAGTATCCAATATTTTTCAGTACAATATGATCGAAATGAGCGTACTTTCCGCTGGGCGTGAGAGAAACTTGTTTGGTCGAGCTTGTCATGGGTCTTGCTGCAAGAGTGTGATCGTTTCAACCTTCTCATGGTATCACACGATTACTTCAGTGCTAAGTGCCCACTCAGTATATGACTTGCATCGCATTGAAAGATCACTTTGTTTCTTCCATCTTCGGCTAATTAGTATGTATGCAGTGTTTCTTTATGTGCAATTTCTATAACTCAAAGCTCCAACAAAAGGCAAGGCATCAAGCGGAAATATTAAAGTTTTAATAGTAATTTTTAGGAGAAAACATTGAAGTTTCTTAACGTGTATTGTCATCGTTACAGTGCAGATGTTTTATGTGCAACCATTCAACAAAGTACAGTGAAAAACTGACAAAACTAATCATGTTAAAGAATAAAATAATTACCTGCGGGGATAAGAAAACAGGCCTTCCTGCAACACTTTCCAAATGCATTTCCAACTAAATAGGCTTTTGAGCCGAGGATTGACTTTACGCTCGTCAGCTTAGGACTTCATGCCGAACTTGTCAAAGACATCAATCTGAGGACTTCAGTAGCAATTGCTTCTGATGCCCCAACCCTAGATTCGAGGTTACAGTTCTCATCAGGCCTCGAATGAATCTTTAGAAGCTGACGTTTCATTGCTTCCAATTTACTCTGAGAGAACAAGTAATGGGCAGCGACATTCGCAATCTCAACAGGTTCTATTCGCCCGACAAGCTCCGGAACAACTTCTTTATCGACCCACCTGTAAACATGTTGAGAACAGAAGATCGTCAGACAAGACATGTACGTCTGACGCTTCGTAACGAGCTTATCATTTTACTGCATCTCCAATTAAAAAATTAGAAGGTCTTACCATAAATCTCCAACTATCTATACATCATGGCTAATTTGCAACTTACTCTCACGAACAATTTCCAGACCCTTCCTCAGTTTGCGAGAGCAGACCCTTTACAAAGTACCATACTGCTCAGACATCATCTACAAGCCTCAAAATAGTCCCCCGGACCAATCTAGTCTTACCTCTTACAGGATGAGGCATGCTCTAGCAAACAGCTATTATCAACAACAGACAGTTAATTAAGAGGGTCAATGACAAAGAGAATTTAGTTGCACAAACACAGGAGAAACACGTGTTGAGAAAACGCAAACTTACTAATTACATATTCACCGAATCTTCAATCTATGTCCCGCACCAAGGGTCACCGCCTATTCACCTCAGATGCAGTCCAGAAATACATAAACCAATATTAACTGACACCAACACCCCTGAATCTACGTGGAATGAAGGAGGAAAGAGCAATCAAAGTAACTGAGCTGAACCCTATTTATCGAGGCAATAATGAACTTATATGAATGAACATATAAGTTGTTGAAGTGCGAGGATAAACAAATTATCGCTGTAGTAAGGAGTGCTAACTTTTTGTATATAACTCTGTTTACAGTTGAGCAGTTTCGAGTTTCCAGGGAATGAGCTTCTCGAACACCAGAATGACAAGCTTTACTTTAACTTTGCAATCACGTAGCTCGTAGTCACTATCAGCGTATACTGAGTTGCATGGTTTTCTGCCCAGGATCGCAACTAAATGATTAAGCAATGGCACTCATTGGCATAGCACAATGAGTGCCATAGAGAGGGCAAGTGTGGTGTTTAGTAAGTACATATCTTTACGTGGCAAGATCAAAATTTCAATACAAAAGCGGAATTATGACTGACATTGAAAGGTATGCCAGTACAGTAAAGATCCGTTGTGACCTCCAGGTTAGGAACAACGTTTGCACATGAGAAATAAGTAGACTGAAACCCACTTTAATGAAGCCTAAAGGAAAGAACTCTAATGCATTGCAGTTCAAAGCTGGTTGAAAGTAGTGGAGTGGAGGCAAAGCAACAAATTGTGTGCATGTATCTACCTCTTTATTCACTGCAACTAAAGAGAACAGAGGAGAAATTGAGATGACTGCATGAAAAAGAGAAAGTTAAAGATCTATAGAAAACGAACATAAGAAAATGACCACGATAACTAGCATCGGCGAGTACGCTGAGTGTTAATCAGGTTTGCAAGGTTAAGGAAGATCTTATTTGCTGGTATACTCTGAAGTGCGCATAGTAGTCCAGAAACATCTTATAGCACCAAGCATCGTGAGCATAAAGGTACCAAAATAACTCATTGACATCCTCGGCGCCTATAACATACAAAATACGCGAAACATTGCGGCTTAGAGGGAGCGACATAGAAGATAAGCATCATGAACTCAGTGCATATAAATGTAAATGTTCAACCATTATATATACAAACCTGTTTGGCCACGCTATATAGCCTGATGATTTGAGTAGAGCTGAATTGACTTCTTGAGCTACATATTTTCCAAGTTCGCCAGGCATGTTTGCCAGCAAACCCAGTGCTCCTCCTGTTCCGCCTCTAAAAACCTGGACGATGATCACATACAACAATATTTGAGTTCATTATTCACCTTCTACTTCTGCCTTAAGTATGATTACATAGCTTGCACCTTGACTACAGGTGCTGAGCTACTTTTATAATTCTCATGTGCAAGTAGTATATGAACTATGATTTCCTCCATGACTTTCGACAGAATGCGAAATACTGTCGCTACAGATATTCTCAACAGGAATGCGAATGGTAGATGACAAACTATTCAGTGTGCTTCAGAATCACTTGAGTGGTTCTTGATTACTACTTTATCATCAAGAGTTGGCAGTGTATGCAGTTGATCAAGTCAGCTACTCTAAGTAGTTGTTCTGACAGACAAAAAATGTGGTGGCATACCATTGAAGTGGATGCTAAAGTGACAGGTTCTAACACGTAAACAGCCGTAGAGTAATTAACCCGCAAAGATACTGAAGACTTCTACTTACATGTTGATGTTCGGGGTTAGTCATATTAGACTTTAGATTAGGTCTAGTTTGTATTGTAACAAGCAGAAATAACCTAATATGCTGGTATGTAATTATTAACATATTTGGAAGCAAGCGCTGTAGTTTCAAAAATCTGATAGTGGCGTTCACTGGATAAGACGTTCTTTTAGTGTTTGGGAGAGTGCTGAAAACCAGTGCAAGTATAAAGTGGTAAGGAACACTGACTGCCAAACTGAGCTAAAAACTAAATATAAATGTAAAGGTAAACACTGAGTAATGGCAAGTTAATAAAGTGATCATGATTGTGACTTCTATACGTGAAACTGGTTGGATTTCATAACCAACTGACAAAATCTCAAGAGTTTGTAAAACCATAGATGAAAATGGATTGATGAAGAATTGCTACCTCAAGTGCATGAGTGGGAAGCACCACCAACATTGGAATTCCCAAGTAGCCAAGTTCCGCGGTGTTCGTGCCAATCTGAAAACAAAAATCGCATGTTTACACTCAAATTGCTCAAAAGTCTTGCGATCAAGAGTTTTATCTTTTCAAATCCTCGCTGACACCCACATTCCAGCTAGTTAGAGCTTACTCTATTCGTGACCTGAATAGTGGCCTAACTAGATACTGTTGATACCCCATCTTCAGTGAACGCTGCATGGGCCGAGATACTTATGGTCCTAATGATTCACATCCAAGTTTGATACCAATGTTCTGAAACATAGAGGACATATCCAGTTTTTATCGATACAAGATGGATAAAAAAGTACTAAAGCAAGCTCATGAGAGTCGGGTATGCATAACGTAGAGAAAGGACAAAAGAATAGGAAGTACTTCAAACTTTCAAACTGCTTGCACCACGTTTTAGGAAGTAAAAATTTTACAAATCACATTAAAAACCATCTGAAGAAAATCTCTCCAGTGTGGTTTCCCTGCATTGAGGTCATCCTAAATTACAGTACTCCAGAGAGAAAGTCTGCTAGCAGACTAATCATTCTTACAATAAATGCTTTCAGTGAGTGGTTTTGGCAGACTAGAAGAACTGAAAGAAAGCAGACAACGTCAAGCAAACCTGAAGACTCACCGTCGTGACACAAAGACTGCACCGTTTAAAAACATCGTGGGCTGGAAACTGCTGCAAAATATCAATGTGTACACCCTCATCGGTCATCAAATGACCGACGGCTTCAAATTGAGAATATGTTCCGCCTGAGGAACTCTCGTCCTGATGCTCCAAGTGCAATTGTTTATCTACGTTAGGAGAAACTTTTGCTGACGACCAATGGAACTGTGATATATTTGGGTTGCTGAGTGGATCAGCTTGTTTTGCAAGCATGCTCAAAGTTACAGTCGGTGCCAATGGTAACACAAACCGCACGCGACCCATCATTCTATCCTGCCAACATATACCAGGGCAAATCACGCATCAACACAAGTAAGCACCTGTTAAGCGCTGCACATTTTCCTGAAATGTAGATTATAAAAACACTAAGTCTGCTGGTCACGACTTGCGAATCCCGAATGCGACAGGACTACAACATTTTGAGGCAACAACTCCTTGCATAATCAGAAAGTTAAGTGTGCAGGAGCAGTACAGATGGTGTAGGTGGTTTGCGACTGCCATGAAGTAAGGCACACCCAGAGCAAGCTTTGAAGCCTGTAGGAGAGGAAAAACACTCAAGTTAATGATCTGAATACACATATAAACATTTGCGTACACAGAACTCAGATTCATATATACGCGGCCCAATTGCCATGAAGATGACAACCTTATAGGCCTCCATACCTGCAATCTTATAGTCGCTAGATCGCAGGCTAGAAAGAGCGTTAATTCAGTAAAATCAAGAAGAGGAATGACCTTCGACCCAGGGAGAAACCCCACAACAGGTATTGAATCTTTCATTGAATCAGCTTCTTTCACAGTGTAAGATTCTGAGTTGTGTGGATTCAACCCCACAACAGAGTCCGAAAATAGGTCCCCCACCACTTTGCATCTGGATTGGGCCCAAAGCGGAACTCTGCTCAGCACATGTGCTGAACGTAGCATATATCTGTCCACTAATCTGTTGGCATGATCGAGTGAAGGTGAACTGATCAATCAATAGATGTAAACTGTCTGGATAAACAAGGGCTTGAACAATCCGCTTTGCAATGAAAGACGTAATATCACAAATGTGGATAGATGTGCTTACCCTGGCCAGAGAACGGATTCTTCAGAATACACGATGCTTTTGTATCCCAATCGCCGACTCAATATGACCTACAAGACACACAGTTAACAAGATCTGACAACCCCGAAAGGGCGCCAAAATAATCCATAGTTGTCTAAATTGTTCACATCAAACTTAGATTCATACCTAGGAAGTCTTTATAATAGGCAGGGGCACCTCTGACGGATGTACTAGGCAAAACATACCGTATAAAGTTGATCTCCACCAAGAAAGACAACGACTCCTTTTCTATGCCAGGTCCAACCATCTTCGGTAGAGCCAAACAATAGTAAATTCCAGAACGACTCTGGTCCCTTCAAAGCAAAGTGATTTTAAAATCAGGTTCTGAGCGAACAGATTTAATATCCCATGTGCTACAAAACAGTAAAGTTTAAGCTTTAGTACATAAATTTGAAGAGAACAATAAATTTTATCCCTAACATGCTCTAAGCCTGGTAAGAAGGAAAGGTTTAAGGGAATTACAGATGGTCTCTGTCACAACTCAAAGAAACACAAACTCAAAATATCATTATACCTGACATCTGTCAACGTCACTGTAGGACCTAATCAGCTCCAGTTCTCTTCCGGATGCATGTGGGCATGGTGTCAGTATAACCTGCACGAATTACCCCATCTGTCTGTTAGGAGCAGACGTAACTCCTTGATAACAGCATAAATCAAGATTGAAATACACTTCACATTCAAGTAGCTGATGACAATCTGAAGTCAGCTGACTGAGCTCTGAATAACGTCTTCTATGAAGAGTATCAACGGAAAAGAAACAATTTTTGGCTAATCAGGACAAACCTGTAAGCCTACATTTTTGTTTCTCTACAATTTGCATAACACAGAGAAGCCTACTGAATCGTAACTTGAAAACTAGACTTTATGAACTGTTTTGAACATCAAGACTCGATATAGGTGATCAACTGTGACCGCTGTGGTGTTTGTAAAGGTACCCTCAACAGAACACTGAGGGTTCCACTCAAAGGAGATTCACATGACAGCCAGCAGTCAAACCAAACTCAATAAGATGTCCAATCTGATGTAGTCCAAATCATCCAGAGTTCCAGACTTAACCTTGATAATGCCGGAAATATGACCATGGGAAAAGAGAAATCAGTGGATAGAACTTTAAAGACATAATCTTACAGATATTCGAAATGATGGTTTTCTGCCACCGAATTTAGTACGAAGAGAAGCCACAACCGGCTTCACCCATGCTGCCACCTCCCCTGGTCCATTAGAGAGAAGAACAACATCAACCTCGGCTTGTTCTGTAGCTTGCTGTCTGTGACATTTAGGAACCATTGGATGTCTTTTGGTGCATGCATTCCTCCAATCTGCCCCACGGAAGCTCCTCAATTTTACGTACCCTGACAGACGTCGTGAAATTCAGCATCTGACCCATTTGTGAGACTATGAATATGAATATGAATTTTTGTGAGACCATATACTGAATAAGTCATGGCCAACACCATCACGCCAAGAAACGGTGTGCCTCATATGACTGAAAACTCTGACAACGGATCCTACTGTCCAGATCAACATATGTGCATACATTTTTAGCATGAGACATACACGTAGACAACCAAGTACAGAAATGTAAACTTTTCACACTGAGAACTTCGAAAAGATACTTGATGGACAGTGGAACACATTCCTTCTGTATTGTTGAAAGTAAGAAGTAATCTGAGAAGAAACATAGCAACTCGAGCAAAACACTCAAAACTAGGTCAAACAAAAGCTTACCACGATGAAGCAGAGAAAGAGGTTCATGTGAAAAGAACCCAACATTTTGTGCTCTCCACGGATTCCTTCGGAATTCTCCACCAACCTTTACGGAGCTCTGAACACGTCCTATGCTTGAGCTTCCGCATGGAAATGCTCCACTCGAACTTCCTAATGCATCCATAAGGGAGAGATGCGCAGGAAATGGCAGCTCTTTTTCGAAATCATGTATCTCTGGATAAGGAATTCCGAGAAGTGGACAAAATCTGGCACTCACTGTGAACGCTCAGAAACTGTCTCTGTGACAGCGTTTGTGCAATCAGAGCTATGCACTTCGACCTAAGGCTCGTGTGAAGAATCAGAACCAACGAAACACCCAAATCCGGCTATACATCTTCTTTTCACCGGAATCTTAAATATATGTCTCTGTCTTATACAGGAAGACTTCGCTTTGGTTTTGAATTCCGACTATTTCCGACTCGCGGGCGCAGCTTCGGGTTGAATTTCGGAGTTATTGATGGAACTTATGTGAAAAACCTTTGCAAGGATCCCGATGCAATTTTTAACGTTTTCGTGAATTTTTCACGAGGTTCGGACTTTTCACTCCTATCTAAAAAGAGCTACAAATTTCATGGAGTTGCTTGCCCTCGTATAGAATCTGAACACCAACGTGGGGAGTTTGCGGAGTGGGAACCCACTGTGCAACGTAGTCAGACCACACAGTGAGCAAACCAACCGCTATCTGCTGCTGAAGGTGTCTCCAGGATGTCATAAATCAGACCACAAATTTGGTAGATTTTAAATTTATTTTTCTCTTTAAAACAAAAGAAAAATGGAGAACACACTGGATCCGAATGACAGAGTAGTGTAGACCTCAGCTGAATGACGGTCACAAAACAGTTCACACAGACTATTACATGAAAAAATATATATAGAATATAAGAAGCGTTGTTTATGGTTCTTATGCATAGAGAAGGCTTCTTGCGGTGGTACAGAGTGTATATAATGTATCCATAATATTTATCTCGAGAACTCTTTTCGGGATAATGCAGGACTAATGATGTAAGAACTATGTTACAAGCCATTGGAATATTTTATATTTCCACTTTTTTATCACCTACCATACTTGATAACAATATGTCCCTCCATTCCTACATGAATCACTACATAGTAGATCGTATGCATACAATGTATGGGTTAAATAATATCAAGGACCCATCACATGATCAGGCCAAGCTACATGGGTTAATTGCCCTCTTTTTCTGAGTCATGAGGTATTTCGCTTTTTGTATTTCTATCTTTTCGTGAACTAAGATTTACGGCTCTTGCCAGTGTCATTTCTATCCCAAGAGTGAAGAAATCATGCAAGTTTTATTTAGTTTTCATTTCGATTAGTTTGAAAGTATTCTATCTAAAATCTCCATGATCAAAAAATACAACAAATATGAGCTGGATGTTTCACTTTTTAGGATCTGGGCTGATGTTGTTACCCTAGTTTGAATAATCCTTTTCATTGAGATATGATATCTCTTTCCTTCTTGCTCCTATTTTTGTAACATAAAGGAGTTTTTATGTCCCGTTATCGAGGACCTCGTGTAAAAATAATACGTCGTCTTGGGGCTTTACCAGGTTTAACTAATAAAACACTTAAATCAAAATCTGGTTATATTAATCAGGAAAAAGCAATAGACCAGACCAACCTACAAATACAAAACGGTCTCTCCTTAGGCTTCAGGTCCCCATAATAATAGTAAAGAAGCGACTAAAGCCCCGGTAAACGGCGGCCGTAACTATAACGGTCCTAAGATAGCGAAATTCCTTGTCGGGTAAGTTCCGACCCGCAGGAATGAATGAAAGTTATGAATATTTATTGCATTTTTTTATTAGAAATAAGAAATTACTAAATCAAATGACAAAAATTTTATTAAAAAAGGGCTTTTTATTGTATAAGAATTAGCTCTTTTGACAATCTCCGATGATTTTATAGATACCCAAAATACAAACGAGATGGAAGTTTGTTTGCTCAATCATACATTTTTATTTAATTAAAAAAGAAATAACGATCTAAGAGGATGTGTAAGAGCTTTTTCTCTAACTGAAGCTTTGTACTCGTCATGGTACTCACTTTACTTTGAGGTTTGGAGAGATAGTAGCTTTGGAGAACTTTATTATTTGTCAACTATTAAGATTTTTTATTTCCCAAGGTTAGAATAAGGGGGCTGATACTCCCATCCTCCTGATTTACTTTTCCCACGGTGAAAACATTATCAGCGGACGCTGATTGTTTTGGGCAATTACAAACGAAGTGTCCATACCTCCTCCATTCCCTGCAAAGACGAGGGGCTCTGCCAATTGTCTCAGAGGCGCTTGGTTTCAAACGAGTTGACGATATCGATTGGCGGCTTGTGGCATGCGCATCAATAGCTGCAATGGATGGGCGTCCGCGTATATGGGCAATGGCGGTCTCAAGAATCTGTATTGCGAGTGTACTAACTTGTAGATATAGCGCAAGCCACCACTGCCTGTGTACCGCACTCATCGGTAGGATGTGGTTTGCAGCGCGCAGATCGTAGATTGTGGTCGCTGAATGAAGTTCCATGCGCCCCCATGTTCTTTGGCGATTGTAAATTGAAGTTGGATTTTGATGATAGCAATTTAAGACACTTGTGAGAATACCAAGGTATACCGTAAATAAAAGGAAATAATACAACAGGTCAAGGAATTAGCCCAACGAAATTGGACTCAGAAAAGAACTTCTCAACTTAAACTCTTTGATCTCCAACCTAGTTCACAACATAAGACTTGATTGAATGCAAGTAGTAAGCTTAGTCATTAAACATGTCTAAGTGAACAATATTGCAACATCTTTTCTGTAGTGAGATGGCAATATTGATCTCTTGATACTGCTCGGCGAGAAATTGCAGTACAAGTTCGACCATAGTCATCATGTCACTAATGCTGACATGTTGCTTTAACACTAAGTGTGCGCATTCCACGCGTGACGAGGATGACAACTCAAAATGCGGCATTTTGTCAACATATGCACCGACGAAGTATGTTTTGTATTGCATCATATTGCATAGCACGCGGCTGGATACTGACCACTCCGTTTGAATCAGCACTAACTTCTCTTGTAGATTGTTCTTTGTGCCCGCTCGCATCATCTTGAGAACAATTTGAGAACCTCCAAAGATGGAAATCTCAAGGTTAGCCTCGAATCATAACTAGAACTTGTAGTACTTCTCTTTTTTTTTGCTCAAAGAGATAGAATAAGTGTTAGAAATGATTCACTTAGTAGTTAAGCAAAAACAGATGAAAGAAATAGTAAACAGAGTTAAGAATCTGTAGCACCTTCGGTTTTGAGAGGCGAAAAGAAAGAAGTCAGTCACCCTTCGGTTTCGAAAGGCTAGTAGAGAAAAGTCAGCCACAAAGTCAGGAGTAAAGGCGGGGACAAGAGGAAAAAAAGCCGAAGATCAAGTAGATATGGCAGTAGTGATTTCCGGGTAGAAGTATGATCTGAAGTCCAGACTACTCGTACGGATAGGATTGGAGAAGTTTTAGGAGTTAGAGTTTTTGAGTGAATTTTTTTGAGTGGGTTTTCGGCCCTGCCGCTTTTGTGTGGCCTCTGCTTATTTAAGTGGAGCTTCCGAGTTCGGCCCAATCTTTGTTCTTGCATATTTTCTTTTCAGATTACTTATGAGTAGAAAGTATCGTGTTTTTATATGCTACTGTACTTCTGGCTTCTTGTCTAAGTGTTGTCGATGTGACAGAAGCAAAACCAGATGTGAAGGTGACGAAAGTTGTAAGGCATGACACGTATTGTTTTAGACTTCAAGATTGAGCTGTGGATTCTCTGGTGTGTTGTGGAAGTTGAAGCGTCATTCTTTGAATCACTAATATTCTCACAGGGAAACACAGTCGTTAGGGTTAGAGCAGGCTAAGGGATACTCGGTTTGGCTCACCTGAACTTCTTAAGAGTTTTTGTTTATAGTGAGAAGAGTAGATTCGTAACGGATCGTCCAGAGATCGCCGAAACCTGGCTCTCACGGATCCGGATCGGTTTGTTGTTGTAGTCTCACGGATCGGAAAGTGCTTGCTTGTGTGACCTGCTAGCTAGAATGTTCTAGGATAGTTGTGAAGTGATCTCTACCATGTTGTGTTGGGATTTTTGTCATCTAAAAGAAAGAGAGAGGTAAATAGATTAGCATCAGACGCCTAAAATCAAACTTCAAATTTGGAGTATGATTAGATGAGAATTATGAATGATTTCTGACATTACACTCGAACGAACGTAACGGAACGGAACGAACTCAGAATCACACGGATATGAGGAGTATAGGCTTGTTTTCTTTTCAACCGGAAGATAAACAAGTTTTCATGTTCCGACAAAAAACGTCATGAATGTTTGCCAGTCCTCCTCGATGAAGCATGTCTGACGATTTGCCATCATAGTTTTTGCATATATGTCATCGGTAGAGCATCTTATGAACAAAAGTAAAAGAAATCTTGGTCGCTCGCATCAACATCAATTCGCAATCGATGACAATGGCAAGCGGCAAGTAGTTGTTCATAAAGACTTTGTACGTGTTTAGTCTCCAATCGTAGTGCTCGATTGTCTTTACACTGAGAAACGCAATGGCCGATAAGAAGGTTGCCCTAATGCAAGCAAAGCTAACAATGTGAAGTAGTGCATCTTGAACATGTTCATTTTGTAGGTGCATTCCATGATCAATATCGTTCCAAAGCGACGAGTAAGTTGTACATCCTTGGTGTTCGTGAAGGCGAGTCGTGTTAGATGTCCGCTAGCATCAACACAATGGATGTTGGGTACATCTAACTCAATCATAAACAAGAGCAAAGCCTTAGTTTGCATTCGGCCTTCAAGCCATTCGGTTCTGTGCTGCCTCTTTAAGTTGTATATGTCACGCGCAATGATGTGCTTGCCTGGGGGTCCTAATGTATCAACGTCAGGATTTGAGCAGACGCAACACCAGCGACATACAAAGTGCAAACGCATTTTTTATGTCAATGGTCATCTTGCAGTAAGACGGATGCACAACCTCACGAGTCAATGGCGGGTGATTGTGCTCTTCACATTTCACATCCAGCGTTTAGCTCCCAACTCGCTAACGACGGCCTTGCAGAAGAAATGGGTAGCCAATCATGACCGAGCTCGAAAGACGCTTGCATGTCTTTTCTGTTGGACCATGGCGATCATCGCGTGTACCAGACTTGCCGCAATAGGACATCCATCTTGTAATTGGTTTGCTTAGTGATGACGTTGATGATAGAGATGAGCGGCAACATGTTGTGCACACGCAGACTTCAAGACATCGACATCGTCGTAAGTGGCCTCATGAGAGGTATAAGGAATGGGGAAGAATTAGAAAGCTGTCGAAGAAGTCGTCTTTGATAAAATTGGCAAAGCCCCACATCTTTGCAAGGAATGCAGCAGGCTTGGAACGAGGTTAGTAATTGCCTAGTACTTAAATTTTGGTGCGTGTCTACGTTTTCATCGTTTTCCAGCGCCGGGGAAGTGAGAAGGGTGGGAAAAGTAAATCATGAGGGTGGGAGTATCATGCCACTAGAATAAATATACAGATTTTTGGTTGTATACAAAACCTTACAAACCCAAAACTAGATTGGGTTTGTACCATCTTATGCACTAGATAGATTGAGGATTTTTTTCCCATTTTTTCTCTATCTTGACTCCTTGAAAATCAGTTGAAAAATCATGTCGATTGAAATAAAAATAGAGGAAGATTCAAATTCTAAAGTTTTGACAAACTGCACGAGATGACGTTTAATGAGATTTTTTGTTATGATGAGAAGATATACATGATGGAGCATTATGGAGTATTATATGTTAGCTTGGCTGCTGAAGTGTATTCCTCTCAAAGTGGATTGTCTTGCATATAGATGCTGAGTGTGATCAAATTAATTTGCCTACACCTCTAGAGAGGTTAAAGATATAGTTGAACATCTTGCAAGTCCAAGTTCTCATTAAGATCATTCGATGGTTCAAGATTTTCTTTCGTTTATCAATTTAGCATTTAGCTATCATGTGTCACAATAGCGCAATCACCTTAGATTTTTTGGATGTTTCAAAAATATGTTATCACTATCAGATAAAATAATTTCAGAGAAAATGTGAATATATTTTATATGACGTCGATTCTAATATATTTCAATTACCAAAGATATATAAATTGCAGGATGACAAAATTCCTATTTGATGCTCGTGGGGTCAGTACCATGCTTCTGTCATGGTTTAATTTTGTGGAGCTCGATGTACATTCCCATCATTTTTGCTTTGTTCTTGGCTCTTTCACATTACAAGCTGATAGGATAGTACACATAATATTAACAAGAGTGACGGAAGACCCAAACAGGAACTGCCATGAAGAATTGAAATAGCTTGCCTCCAGGAGCATCACAATGTCAAATATGGTTACTTCAATTATTATGCACCAAGAACATCGATCACATAGAATGCTTCCTATGAATTAGAAAGCCATCGTAGAGCATTAGTCGTTCTTTCACGTTACAAGTTACAACTACGTTGATGACGGAAGGGTGTGATTACATACATTATTACATTGATTACATGAGGTGTGCCCATGTACACCGGCAGAAAGTCTCTTGATGTTCTGCGGATCGAAACCGCCAGTGACAAGCTTCTGGAACTGTTGATCATTAGGAAGCGGGGAATCAAAATTCATTTCAGACAGCAGATTGTACTCAAACCTCGATGGCTGAAAAAGCTACTCTTTCACGCAGCAGTCGTCGCAAATCTAGCAGAAGATGCTGATCACTGCTTGAATGATTGACATCTAGAGTACAGAGAAGTCTTAGATTGGCATCTAAGACTATGGGCCAGATTGGCAAACAAGGATCCACCCTCTAATTACTTCAAAGGATTCTGAGCCTCATGAGGTTCTTGGCCGCAAGATTGACAGGAAATTTTGGGTTCAAATGGCCTGTGTTTGCATAGGCGTGGCTATGCCGGAGCGAAGTGTGTACATCACACCCCAATTGTTTCGGCTTAAATGATGGATTATGAAATCCTCCAACATACTCGATCTCCAGGTGTCTGATCACCTGGTATATTGATCATATCTTTTCATAGTGGGAGCGGCTACATTGTCGCAAGATGGTGGCGAGCGAGGGTTTTCAGAGCCGTATTGAGATCCATTTGCGAATGCGCCCCGTAAATGGAGTGGCTGTAGCCGATTATGGGCTGGATCATGAAGAAGGTACAGTCGAGTGGGTTATACCTCGTCAAGCAGCAGCAGGAATGCACAATCATCAACGTGAAAAATACAGCTTTTCCTTCACTGGAATCTTGGGCACGGAGTCCAAACAGGACGAAGTTTTTGATTCCGTAGCAAAGAAGGTGGGCTACATTCAGCCCATTCTCCTGTTTTGGACTTGCTCCTCTAAATTTTATCAGATTTTCTGGTACTTGCTAGGCTAGAGCCGCGGACCCTAGGAGATGCGGAATAGCACATTTTCAGGCTGCCGAGGTCCACAAACATCTTTAGCATGTTCCATTGGGTCTGGTAAATGCTGAGCCCTCGTGGTAGATAATGTATCACTTAATTCATCTTAGTTAGAGTCTAAGACTCAAATTGAAAAATACCAAAAACAAAGAACAACAAAAACAAAGAAAAAGGAAAAGGAACTCCTGCCTCTGAGCAGATATTCAGACGATACCAGTTAAATTTTACTTTTTTGTAGAAATTTGAGGTGTTGTGTGCTTCGATTTTCTTTGTTTTCAAGCTCTGTTTATTTTCAGCTCATAGTAGATTATATTTGACATTCATGAATGAGGAGATTGGTCCTATGACAGCTCTTAATGGATGAACTGGCAGGTTGTTATGGGAGCTTTGGATGGATACAATGGAACTATTTTCGCTTATGGTCAAACAGGATCGGGCAAAACCTACACAATTACAGGAGGCACCGAGCGCTATGTAGACCGAGGACTTATTCCTCGAGCTCTATCACTTACTTTCAGCGAAGTTGCGAAACGTAGTGAGTACACATATCAGCTGCACTTCTCATATATGGAAATCTACAACGAAACGGGCTACGACCTCTTAAATCCAGACCATGAAACCAAATCCCTTGAAGATCTTCCGAAGGTAAGGCTCCTGTCTGATTGTAGGCACTGTATCCAATCCCATTGAAGTTGATATAAAGCTTATCTTCTCTGGAAAGTGAAGTTTTCGGAGGACAGTGTCACTTCACAAACATTACTCACAGCTTCACAAGAAATCTAAACTCAATTGATCTTCTGTCTGCAGCACTGGGCATGGCTTCGTGACTCTAACAAAGACAAGGCTACTTGACGGGTCATGTGAAGGTAACAATGCTGGAAGACGAAGATAACTGTTTTCATCTCAAAAATCTCTCACAGCATCTTGCAACGTAGGTCCATTATCCTCTTCCCTAAGTATATGTGGGCTGTTTAGAGTCGTTCTTTTCGTAAGAAACCCTTTTCTCCACGAGCCGTATTTATTGTCGATAACTTCGTACCCATTGTAAGACCCGGTCTCCAATGTGCACTTCAGTATCTCAACCTCAATGTAAATAAGCTTATGTGAAGACCGTCGACAATAGAGCTAAGGCTGCGTCTTTATCTAACATCATCTGACAAACCGTGCATACAGAAATGAAGAAGAGGCCTTGAACCTGCTTTTTGTGGGTGACACAAATAGAATGATAAGCGCCACTCCCATGAATCTGGCAAGTAGCAGGTCTCACTGTATATTTACTGTAACAGTTGAAGCTAGGAAGGCTGGCGAAGACACTGTTCGCAAATCCAAGCTTCATCTGGTTGATCTGGCCGGATCTGAGCGTGTTTGGAAGAAGGGCATCGATGGCCAAGTATGTAACTCTAGTTTGCGTTTTACATTATGTCTTGCTTTAGATTCAAATACTTGTTTACTAGCTCTTTCACTTATTTACTAATTAGAACTTGATCTTCGATTGCAGATTCTAAAAGAGGCTAAGTACATCAACCTATCTCTGCATTATCTTGAACAGGTACGGTTGTCACAGCCGAGGATTGTTTCCCCTTTATCCACACACTAATTTAGATACTGATATGCATGCTACCTAATTGAATGAGGTTCGCAGGGAATTGCTGAAAGCCGCCCGCTGAAAGAAGCATCTCATAGAGATCATGTTTGCAGGTTATTATTGCCTTGCAGGAGAGAAGCCAGGGAAAGCCGAGGCATCATATTCCTTATCGAAACTCCATGATGACATCAGTGCTGCGAGATTCTCTAGGTGGAAACTGCTTGACGGTAATCTCCCTGTCGGTATTTGGGTGCCGAAGAAGTCGAGTTGATAAAATGTCGTGGTGGGAATGGATGGGGCGAATACTCAAATCTATCCTCAGTGCGAACTTCGTTCTATCCAGTCTAGCATTTTGTTCGCGGGGTTCGTTGAATCTTCTTTCTCCTTCTCCTTACCTGACATGCGGCCTTTCGAAGGCTTTGTTGTGGTCTAAAACTTATCCACAAGCAGCGTGGAGTTGATTATCACCGATTGAATCATTGTGGGACTGGACTGATCTTATCAAGTGTGAGCTGCCACATAGGATAGTAGTATTTTATTTTCTGAAGGATAACCCCAAGTATTTGTTGTGGTGTTCTCCCACATGTCATAATGAACATCGACATTCATTGGTAATGAATCATGCCCTTCATGGAGATGACTGCACAGCAGATCAATTGTACCCGTACATCAAGTACTTGCAGTGTTCTATACAGATACTGATGTCGTCTGCTGTTCTACAGAGAATTTAGTTTTTGAACATATGCAGACTCTCTTATGTAAACTGAGCGATGAATAGCCTGCTTCATTCGTTCTAGGTTATGATAGCTACTGTCACAGTAGCACAAGAGCAGTTGGAAGAAACAATCTCAACCTGCCGCTTCGCACAGCGTGTTGCTTTGGTGTCAAACCAAGTGAGTTCTGGACATGCTTGGATCTAAAGGAGCTAACCTGGAATGATTGTGTAATTTAGAGTTACAACCTCAGATTTGATAGATTACCACGGGTAGATTAGTTCAGGATCTGCTTTTTAACTAGACTTCACTTTTTCCAGTCTCAAGAAGGCGTGCCTCCCAGAAATCCAAAGCAAGAACCCAAAGTTTACAATTCTGTCTCTCGTTACATCCCAGTTTTGCGTGGGATGACAGAAACCCGCTGACCAACTCTGAATTGATTTCTGATATGTAAAGGTCATGCTAAATGAAGAAGTTGATCCGAGTATGGTTATCAAGCGCCTCAAGCAAGAGATCAAAGACTTGAAGGTGTAGCTCAGTTCTTATCAAGATAATGTTGTTCTGGAACAATGGAAGATATGTACAAATAATTTGCTTTGAAATTTTTGTTGTCAAGCATGGTGTGTAGTTTACTCCAGTGACACCTATACCTTTTCCAGGAAGAACTTCACCTTCTTCGCGGAGGTGAGGAGAGAGGCCCATTGACTGCAGCTGAAATGAGCATCCTTAAGTCTCAAATTAGCTGTTATATTGCTGACAAATCGGATGATGCAACATTGAATTGTGGAGGTATAAATTTTGTATCCTGAATAGTACATCTGACAGTTTCTAAAACTGCTTCTTTTGAAGCATTCCTCTGCCCGGAACTCTTCTTTAAGAGCAGGCCTACTAGGATGTGTTATGATTCACCAATAAAACATCAGAATCAGCTTCCGGCGCTGCTGTAGGAAGTAAGCTTGGACGAACTTCAAGTGGCAAGCAACCATAAAACCTCTACAAATGTTTCAGCTGATTTGATTTCGGTTTTCTTGGAGCTCCACAAAGATCGTTTTGTCGTTTGGTCGTTCATCCTAAGATCAACACATATTTCACACGTAAGACGGTGATACTATCTCAACCCGAAAAAGCAAGTAATGGATCTCGTACGATCTACAGGAACAATGTTGCAAATTCGAGCCGCATTTCAATTGTTTAAGCAGATGTTTCTCGAAACTAGCGGAAGAAAGAATTCAGTTGTGGATCAACAGCAGACCGATGTGTCAACTGGCATCCTAGTCACCAAGAACACAGAATCGAAGAGTACTTCAACACTTCAAGAAACCATCAGTAACTTGAATCACCAGGTTCACCTTCTCTCATAGTGCATAGAATGTCGTCAATTCCGACCAGACTAATATTTGAGCTATTCCGTAAGTTAGTCCGTTTGTGCGGTTTATCATCAGTGCGAGGATTGACCTGTAAAAGAGGTACCAAGCAGCCGTAAAATGTAACGTCTTCGCACGTATCGTATTCACTGACCATGTGACTTTTACTTTCGAAGTCAGATACTCTTTGTACTCTCTCAAAAACCAAAGAATAACTTTGCTTTACTTAAGTATTTGTAAAGAGTTACTTCGAGTTGCTATTTTTCAATACATGTAACTTCTAGATAAATTTGAGGTTTTTAAGTAGAGTTTGGCAGCCACAGGCCATGTTAAGAGTAGATTTGAGTTGTGACACAGGGCGAAGGACACACCTTGCTTGTGATAATTTAGTTACTAATTCACATTGCTGAATTCTCAAACCGTTTTGAGTAGATGGATTATTGAGAAGTGGTAATAAGTTACCATTCTAGCTTCAAATCTAGTTGGTCTAGGAGTGGTGAGTGGTAACTAGAGTCCATTTGAGGTTAAAACGCTTGATGCTTGTATGGCTCCACGAATGGAGCCATACAAGCAATACAATGTAATATACTAATCTACTGTTGCAGCAGAGTACGAAAGATTAATAATTGTCTAATATTCACCAGCGATTTTTCCCTCTCGAAATGAAACCTGCGAAGTTGTGTATTTACTGGAACGGAGTATCGCACAACCTCCCTTTTTTATGTGAACAGGCACTTGATAATTAATTTATTTTCTCATCTATCTCCCATGCTATTAAAGCCACGAACTACTTGTCTTGTTTTGGACTTTGCACAGACAAAGCAATGATAGTCTGTGTTTTCTTATGGTAACCTTTGTGTGTGGGATGTGCTCTGAAATAGCTTCAACAACGAGACAATGAAATCAATATACTAGTGTCATTCATACGTAAGCGAGAAAAGGCCACATTGAAGAAAACTATGTCAACGCAAGCGCCAGAGATATCAGATATTGGAGACCAGTGTGCTTCATCTGAAGACAAAGGAACATATTATTGTGCTGGTCCAGTTTCCAAGGACGTTGAAATGGGCATCTCGAGATTAGATGATGGGGATAGAGACCAGAACTTAGAGCAGTCTCTTTCTGCACTGAATTGCCAAGGGGAACGATTGAAAGCTTTTGAGGTGTATGTCTCGTTTCATTTCCCTGTCTACTCGGTGTTTTTAGTGAACAAAATATTAGTTACATCCTTCCACTTCCTACTTGATATAGACTGTGAAGGATATGAAAGAATTTCAGACAGCAAGGTATCTTTGAATATTCATTTTCCCCCAGGTGTATGTATATCTATGGAAAAAAGACAAAGTTTGGGGGCTCATGAAGTGAAATAAATGTTTGGATCCTGTTTTCTTCTAATTCTTATGGATGGGACTTATGGTTGTTTCACTTTGTGAGCAACTAATTGGTGTATATGACTCTGCAGTTTTAAGGCCAGCTACCCTAGTTGGGATGCCATTGAAGAGAATAAAAAAATCCTGAAAGAAAAGTATTCGAAAGCGAAGTCGTTGGGAGAGAAAGTTAACAAAGCCCGTGAGGTTAGATGTTTGTCTGCCCATCTTGTGCAATCTTTGCCTGCTGAACAACTTGCGAAAACAAAAGTAAGATGATAGTCATACGGTTCTGATAATCGTAGCAGACTCAATGAAAACAACTTAACTCCAATGAAACCGATGTTATGCTGGGAAGTTAATTTTGAAGTCTAAGAAAATAGATTACCCTCATTTTGCAGAGAATCAATCTTATGAAGTCACAAATTGAAAAGATCAGAGTAGAGAAAGCTTTGCAGAGTCTAACGCAAGGAGTCCAAACTCTGGACTGTGAAGATGATTCAGCTGAAGAAAATTTAATTTGCACCATCGAGAAAGAGAAGGTACGTGTCTGTGATCGCATCTCGAACGACCTCCAGGAGCTGTCATACAGTCATAAGTTACGGCCACAGAGACAGGAAGTTGGATCATATGTTGATGGAGGCCGCTGGATAGTATGTGTAGTTGTGGGTTAAGTTATGAAATTTGTTAGACATCTCCGACATCACGTGCAGATCAAGGCAGCTGAAAAATAAACACTGTAACCAGTTTGAAAGTCGGAGATTTTTCTCGCCGCTATGTCACGAGTTATTTCTCAAACACGTACTCAACTGATTCCCGGACCAAAATTCATTGTAGAGGGTATACAAAGACAACTTCAACGATCTCAGAGACCTTAAGAAGGAGATTGAACACCTTCACATCATCTTACAGCAAAACCGAATTCGACTTCAGGTAGTACTGTGGAAGTCATGTCGTTCTGATAGGATATGTTAATGTAAGAACCAGAGAGTTGGTGTTCTTGGTTTTGCCAGGTTACAAGAAGCCACTCTGAAGTAGCACTTATTAAACCGTCGTGTAGATTGAATCAGTACCCACTTTCCTGATCGGCAACTTTCAGGTCTGCTCACCGATATCTATTTTGCGCAGAATGATTTTGAAAAGTGGCTGAACCCTTCACCCAGACAAGTATTCCAGCCCAGCCAGAGCACATCGGACGTACAGTTTAGAAGCTGGATTAACGGACTGATGCAGAACCAATCATCCCAGCTCCCGCAGCTGCCATCCACGCCAGATTCAGTCTCCAGAACTTCGAAAGTTTTGAGTATGGCTGCTACGAAGGATTCACGAACGACAGAGCAGTTGATTTCAACGAGTTCTAAAGGTTTATATACATGATTTGATCTCTCTATTGCTAATTTCTGTCATACACTCGTGTAGTAAAGGAAATGTACCTTGTAGTTGTAATTGAGTTCCTAGTCAGGTCCACGATAGTAAGCACAGGTTTCTACTTTGAGTTCTTTCTAGTTGGAGAAGCCATATCCTGTGCTGTTTTGGTACGTACTCATAAATCGCTACCCGTGGGCTACAGTCTGTCTCGATCTTTTAACCAGTCTCTGTTGTGGAGCTTCTTGCAATGAGTATCTCGTATCCTGCTCATTGTTTTGTAGGTCAAGAAATTCAAGACAAAGGTAGGACCCATCGTGCACCCACACCACAGTCAACCAGAAGCAGCACCTGTGGAGTGCTAGAAGAGGAGACACCCATACAGCTTACGGGCGATGTAGACACTGATGCTGATATTCTGGCATTCTATCAAGCTCGCGCGGACATTCTTTCGGGGAATTCTCGATAGAAACTCGACAGTGACAGTGAGCATTAAACGTCGAGTGGCAAGGAAACTCCTCAACAAACTAAATTTAAATGTTGTTGTACAGATGTTGATGACTGAAGTGTCGATTGACTCGTAGACAGAAGGCCGTCGGCATTTTCTTTAAAAAGCTGGCTTTCCCTCGTGTAGTCTCCGGGAAACACTGAGGATTATGTCGTGCCTTGTGAAAGCCCCTGAAATGTCTATTTCCATCGGCGTTCGCCTTCCTGCCTCTTTCCATATAGTAACTTCCAAGCTTTTTTGTTTGACTATGGAAAAGATAAACCGTGCAAGTTGGTATCACCGGAACCGGCAGGATCACAGCCACCTCCGTGAAGATGCGTCGACCGCAAAGACGAGGACGTGATGCTCTTTTTCGCACGTGCCGTGGATGTGGCAACTGACAAGAATTCATTCACCAGATTTTCAGCCACGCCACTCCACGCAGCGAGAGAAACATCGTCCACTACAACTTCACAATCCATTCTATCTTGCAGATGCAAACCTTTTCCTAACTAGCGAAACAAGCAAAGCCCTTCTCGATATCGAGTAGAATGTGAGGATCGAAGGTCACCATTCTCATGAAGCAAGCATCCTCCATCATATGGACTAGCGTTCATCGAAATCGCAAGAAAGAGGCCACGAGAAACGGAAGAAAGGGAAGAAGAAGAAACACACACTTCCATTGTAACACATGTACCATGAAGGTCACGAGCCTTATGTTATTTAAAAAATGTCGCTCGAACGCAATGGTCCATCACGTAGTGAAACAATTTCACCCCGATGTGGCGCAAACATCGGAATCATGTGTGCACAGTTGTCACCGTCGCGTTATAATCGTTTGACTCCAAGGATTAGAAGAAACTCATTTCTTCTAACCCTGACCACTCCGTAAGATCCAATCAGCTCGTGTATTCAATCCACTACCACGTCTGAAGTATGCACTGTTCGTTCACTTTTCACATGAAGATTTAGCTTGCGTTGACTTGCAGGGTGGCTTAAATGTGAAGGTTTGATCAACTACGTTCGAGTGTTGTCCTGAGAATTCTGAGTACGAGGTTATAAATATCACAGTCCCTGTCAAATAAACGTTTTGTCCTCTATCACATCTATAAACCTCAACTGTAAGGAAATGAGTCTTTTTCAAGGCGAAATCCACGAAAGTGAAATTAATATTGAGCATATTGAATTTGCCAATCTCAATCTGCCCTGTATTATGTCGTCTGGTTGTATGCGACATGGAGTTCGGGACGCATGAAATAACAACACTGTTTGGGAAAGCAACAAGTTTGTCCATAGTCCATTGTCCATTCTTCATGAATCAGTCTCTCACGAGTACGCAGCTTTGAGAGATTGCACGAGCAATCAATCACAGCTATTTTTATCAACAGATCCAGCTTAATTTCTTTGGGTATCATCCCAGGCTTTAGCAATCGTCAAATTTGACTTCAGTTTATAAAAAGGAGGTGAACAGTTTTGTCTGAATTATCCGTGATTAGCAGGTGGATTTCAGATGTAGGTCTATCGCAATTTGAGGGCGAAAAAACACTTTTTCAATATGTGCTCGTACAAAATTGGTATCATCCTCTGTTGTGTGTGTTTTATATCCACTTCAATTTTCACTATCAAAGAAAAATATTACTACGATCTAACGAACCCTGACTTTCTGATTTTATGAAATATTTTTCATTAGATATGAAGATTACATTCTAATTATCTTAACTTGAAATCATTATTAAATATTATCATACATATGAACCTCACCTTTAAGAAGAACGTACCACTTATTTTTTCATATACATACATGGAATAAAAAGATTGAAATGTTTCTAATTTATAATAAAAATAATTTTGAATTGAATTGATAATTTACGGAACATTGGATTAGTTCTGAATTTTATGAATGAGCTTGATATTATCGATAAATAATTTCACTATTATATTTATCATATTATAATGAAAAAATAATATACCTTAAAATCAAGAAATCTTTTCAAGTATTTGCTTATGTTAATAGACATATAATGTTTAATTATCACACGTGAATATTATACTATTAATGGATAAAAATATGCTAATTACATGAAAAAAAACCTTCAATCTTCTCTAAGATTTGATATTTAAAATTAATGAATTTATTTAGTATATTTTTTTTAAATCCCAAAGATTTCTTTGTGATTTATAATATATCAATATATACTGTATTTAATTAAAAATAAATTACTTCTTTTAGGTAGAAAAAAAAGTTGATATCCTTTCTTCATGTCATGGCAAACTAGATTTTTAGAAATTTGATTATATGATTTTTCATAATATTAAAAATAAAGTAAGCGGAATCAAAATTCAAAACCTTATTCGCAGTTTTCAATCGTATGGTGCACAAGAGAAATTCTTACTGGATCTTACATATATAAAATCTATGGGTTGAAAGGTGCTAGTGTTTATGTGCAGTCCCTTCAAGAGTACAACGTGAAGTAAAATTTGCGTTTAGATTCATGGGCATTATTCGATTCTCTCTTGGCCTTTTTCTTCTCAGCAGAAACAAATTTATGTTTTTCTTCTTATATGTGACTATGCATGACTTTTTGAACTAACTAATTATATGAATTTCATATTTTTAGTCCAGTAGATTTACTGAACTTCAATCTTTATAACTAAACAAAAATTTGTGACTGCACTCTAATATATTTGCACAAAGCTCCATTGAAAATACTGTTCATATCATGTGGTGACTATAGGGTTTCAATATATTATGTTAACCCAGTTTGATTAATGTGTTCAGATCCAAAACATGCTCAGATTTTGTCATTGGATCATATTCGGATTTTCTGTTCACAAAGCTATGTCAGCATTTACGACGGATCATAGTCATCTGAGTAGAGCATAAATTAAGTACGTATCATCATATATTAAATATCAGATACATTTCTTGTTATAACTACAAGGATTTCACAACAGAAATACACGGGTTTTCGTTTACCTGACATTCAATCAATTGGGATCCAATGCAAAATCTCACACTTTGCTGAGAATATACTTACAAAGAGAGAAACCTTAAATTTGGATAAACTTTAAATTTGCACATTGAATTGATCTATATATAGATTTTGGTATATACATTTGCTTTTACCCAAACTATATACTATTTGTAACTCACTGCTCCTCCCTATGAAGTAGATTATACTAACTTATTAAATTATCAGCTCAACAAATCTATCACATTTTGTAACGAAGGGACCTTAAACCTGAGATCACTCGACTTACAAAGTGGAAAGTAGTCACTATTCAAGAGGAAGTGGCAGAAGATCTTGTTGACTTGGCACTACCTTGGGCAAATGTGCATATTCAATTCAGTTCCTGTGCTCTTGGCTGGTCCGGTCTTCAGCCCCAGTTACCTTTGTATTTTCCAAAGAAGCCCATCATCTTGTACAATGTCACTTCTTTCCAATTCGGGCCCTCCCAAGTGGTGATATATAAAGAAAGTCCACTGTGTGCTCCTCGATTCTCCATGATATGACATGTGGTGCGGGGCCCACCGAGATACGCACGTATGTTTCTTGTTGTCAGCTGTACAGTAATGTGAAAAACAGCCTCAAAGAAGTGATTCCTGCATCTTTGGAGTTACGGTTGCAGGGATGCATGCAATTGATGAACATGCAAGGGTCATGGCATGAATTCCAACATGGAAGCTCTACAGTATGCACTCGACATGGATACGGTTTTTTATATCTTCGAGTACTTTTGGATGTTGTTCACTCCAGAACGACCTACAACATTTGCTTGGAACTTCGTCCTGATAGTCCGAGTGTCCATCATATTCTCTTCAGGCTTGGGAGCTTCCTTTTTTATCATATATCTCCTTGTACGCCACGATGAGGTTCGTTGTAAGTCCCCTGCTCGTTAGATCCAATAATTGCTCTTTGTCACGACAATTTGCATCGAAGCTTCACCTTCAATCGTCATAGCGTTCCAAGTTCACGTGTTAGAGGAATCGATTCTTTGAGATATTTTATTAGCCTAACACTTTTCTATTCTTTAAAATCAAATTTTATATTTTAAAATCTTATATTTATACATGTTGATTTTGAAGATTTTCGATCGAACTGACAATTCGTGACACATAATTTCATTCCATGATTAGGTACTCTACCAATTTCATGTTAACCACTAGATAATATTAAGATATTCGGGCGGTTCACTCCGTTAAATATATCTTATCTTCTGATAAATCATGTACATTTCGCTTTGTAAATGTAGCGTGCATATTGTTGTGATCAAAAATCTACCACCATTTAAACAGATCTTGCAAGTATGATTCTAACCACTTACAAATCATATTCGCTTTCTGTATTTTAGTATTATTTATTTGTACTAACTCCTCACATGATGTTCTTGAATTCTTTGTTATGCTTATAACGTATAAATTGCTTCAAATACCAAACCACTTGTTCACAGATATTCATTGTATCAAATGTGTTTTCTATATAGAGTAAAAATTCTAATATTTCATTCACATATTGTTCATTTTCCATGCTTCTTGCATAGCAAATTGAACAAGAGTAATTCAGTAATAGTAATAAGCATGTCTTCATAATCAAATGTCTTAATAACATCAAATTAACTTAACATAACCAAATATTTTCACAATATTGATGCCATATAATATTAAATTCTTCACCTAAATCTTTCCAACAAAACCAGTTCATACATAATTTAAGTCTTAAGTTTTAAGCGTTAAAAATATTTGTTGGATGTGTTATCTTTAATCAACACATACTTATTCAATAAAAATCTCACACAATAAACTTTCAATTTTTCTTTTTTTGCAAAATCAAATAGTTCACAATCCATTTATTATATATAACTCAAAATAAGCTCTCATGATCTAAAAAGTTTCAATATTTTAAGTAATATAAGAATGAAATTTGAAGATAAATAATTCACATCATACATTAACAATGAAGCAAATTTTTAATAAAACTTTGAAATAAAAGTTGAAAGAGATGCACCTGTTGTGATTGCTAATATGTATCATATTAGAATTGAAAAGTCTCAAACAATTTTTGCTTCAAGTTATATCAGCTGTGGATAAAATTCAAATATTTTGCCACCTTCTTTCTCTGCATTAATCAAGAATTCACAAAATTATTAAATATTAATGAAAATTGAAAATTGTATTCGTATTGTGGACATACGTTAAGATCAATAATATTATTTTTTGTCGTATTATTTTTTTAAACTATGATATTTTTTATAATATCAAAGAATCAAATATGTATAAAATAATTCAAGAATAAAAATCATTAACTTGCAATCATGATGACAAACTGAATAGAAAAAAATTCAAAAATGTGTATTATAGATTGAAATAACAAGAGATCATTAACAATATCTTGCTTTGTAGGACAAAACTAAACATCAATAATATTTGTTATGATAAAATCATAAATAAAAGGTAATGTTACAAGCTCATGAGGGTTGGTAAAATGGTAAATGGTATATGAATATTCATATGTAATCTTCAATTTATAAAAATAGAGTTATAATATTTTGCTCAATGCTATGTATTTAATTTGGATATAAACATATATTTATGTAGATCATTTATAAATATATCTAAATTTGATCGTCATAATTCCATGATCTAGTAACATGCACACTGAAATTGTTACATGATGTGATGATACAAATATATTGTATTAGTTTCATTATGTGATTTTGTATTTTGAACTTGCAAACCATAACACACACAATTTCAGCTATTAAAGCATCTAAAAAGTATGTTTACTTTGATAGGTCATAAATTTCAATCAATGGTGATGAATATTCTATTTTTATTACACAAATTTCATTTTTTTTTGAAAATTAGATATGATAATCATTTTTTCGGAAAATTAAATAACTTGAGTAAATGTTTGAGTAAAATATCAATAACTTATGATGAGCATTGGATTGGAAAATTAAATTTTAGAATCAAATTTTATTTAGGATTTCATTATAAAACTTAATTATCATGTTAAATAATTTATTTACACATATTGTTTGTATGGTAGAGTTCTATCCATTCAAGAGATAAGTTTCAAAATATTTAAAAACTTGAAGAAATATACCTTAAAGTCTAAGTCTTAGCTTTTACAGACTATGATGACTTCTTACATTAATTAAGTTCACATAAAATTGTTAGAAAATTTCAGTATATATAAATTATATATTTTTACATTTTAATATATATTGGAATAAAAATTCAAATAGATAAAGATTTCAATACAGTGTAGCAAATTTGTTTTTAATTTTAAATATTATCTTCAATTCCAATTAAAACCAGGGGTTAATAGTAATTGTATATTTAAGTACATGTGAACAAAACATAACTTGATGAAACTATTATGTTGAATAAGTGAATTTCATTTGAAAGCAATGTTATAGTATAATCTATGTAATGTTAATATGCAAATTTATTTCAAATGTATGTTATTTATGTTCAAGATGAAAGTAAAGTCATAAAATAACTTTTATATCATAAAATTGAAACCATTGATTTTTTTGAAATTTAAAAATCAAAATAATATAAGATTTTACAATGTATTAATTTCAGAATATGGTTGATAAATTACATTTCAAGCATAATTGATTTGTAAATTTATATGGAAAAATTTATCAGTTTATGAAAGACGTCAAATTTGAACGTGATTGAAAATATTAAAGTGTTAGATACATGACTTTAATTTATTTAAGTTAACTTTCGTTTGCAAAACAGTTTGTTATTGATCACAATGCAAGTTTCAAATCTTATTTAAATTTTATCATGTTGATTGTAATTTTTTGTATAGTTTAAAAAACCGTTCGAGATATCCGTATCTACAATGGTTTTCACTGATTATTCACGGTTTGGTTCTAAAAAATTCAAAATTATGCATATAGATACCTGAACGGGATATTATTATTTTTAATTAAAATATAAAACATAATGCTGCAATTATTTTAAAACATATCAACGGAAAGGGTATATATAAAATTTATATTGTTGTATTTAATCAGTATGTTGATTGAGTAGAATTAAAATTTGAATTTTCTGAATACACAAAATTCAAATGCCTTTTGAACGACATAAATCAACAAATACATCATATATTTTAATTGTATTCTATAAATCACAGAACTTGTTTACAAGATGAAGATATTTATATCCACATTATAGAAATTGCTTCTTTTTGAATATACTTAAAATTTGATACAAGTATCAAATACAGAACAATATTTTCATTATGAAAATTTATTGATGCATGTTAAATAAATACCGTAAAAATACCTCTATGATTGAAAAGATCGATTTCTAGCATTGCAGTTTTATAAGATATACTTTCGTATTAGGTATATTTTGCATCACTATCTGTTTCATTCAGTATGAAAAGAATACTTTTTATTTTGCATTATAATTGGATTTTTGTATACATAATATGGTTAGACATAGAATAATCTATTAAGTGTTGGTAATGCTCTTTGATGTGCAATCCACGATAATATTCTGTTTTATCCGATTATAAATAAAATCTATGATTTGTCTTTGAAAGCAAGACAAAATTACATGAAATTAATTTAAAACATTAGTCACACTTACACATAAACATATGTATACACAATGTGAGAACTTCACTTACATCTGATTCAAGGTTGATGATCCAGTATCACTTGCATATACATATATATGACGATTAATCATAAAGTTATCTTCATTCTAATGCAAGATTCAGTAAGTGACGAGGCACTGCGAAGTCTTGAATCATGGAAAATGATTCGCTCGCTTTCGTATTTTATTCATATGTAAAACAAGGAGTCATAACACTGTGTGCATATTCAACTCAAAAGAAACATTAGTCGTATGTCTTCTATCTTTGCATTAGGTCTGGCTACAAAAGCGAAGCTACGAAACAAACCGAATTTTCCTAAACCGAAAAGAGAAAGCAGTGACATGGTTGAAAATTGTTCCTATTCGATCAAAGGAGAAAGCGTAAAACGTGAAAGTATGATTACGAAGCTCTACATGAAATCGATGCAACAAAAAACGACAAGATGAATCTTTTCGTCCATCAATACTTCGATCCATCACCATCTGATCAGCTTAAAATTATCAAAATGTATTCGCACAAGGGCGAGACTAATAAATGACTGGCCGAAAAGGTCTTCCAGCTAAAGAAAGCTAAAGGATCCCGGCCGAAGACGGAATATGTCCAGCCCGATTAGCACCACAAGGACTGGAGTCGTCGAGGGGGCTAAATCATAAAAAAGGGTAAGTCATGAACGAACAGTCCCGGCCAAAACAGCCCGTCCGCTACGTTGGTTCGCAAAATCGCATTACCGGAATCATGGGGTCACAAAAACCCGACGAGCAAATGGGAGCAGCAATAATAAGAATGATAATAATAACAATAATATTATGAGCAATAATAAAGACGCCTTACAGTTGTGAGGCGTAGTCTGACAAAGAAAGGGCGAGTTGGACTCCGGCGGCAGAGGGTTAACGTGATGGTACATTGGCCATCGCCAAGCCGGATGCCGCCAATGAGGAGGGACCGCCAGAGGGCCGCCCGCGCAGGCGCGAAAGGCGTGGACTTCGATCGGGAACAGGATGTCGCGCATAAGAAAAGTTCGGGGCCCCGATGGTAGGAAGGTATTTCCTCACATTCGTGTTAGGGTATGCCGGGAAAGGCACGGGTCCCGGCTGGTCGGTCGAGGAGAGCAAGAGGAAGGCAAGGCCTTCGGGCCATCTCCTGGCTTTTGGACCTGAGCAGGTCCAAGTTTAGCTTTGGCACGGAAGGAAGAAGCGAGGGAGGTTTTCTACCCTCTGCGACCCTTCCTTCTCCTCCTCTTGTTTCTGCGACTGCGAATCGGGGCGAGGTCTCAGCAGCAGATCAGATCGATCATCGTCGAGTTCTTGCGCAGCATCGCCGAGTCTCGGCCGGTTCGGATTGATCGTGTTGTGGTTTTGGTCGTGAACTGCTGTTCGTTGTTCTTCGTCTGGTGAGGTCAAAGAAAGACGCAGCAGGCAGGCAGGGGTGGGGGATGATGGCCCCAGGTATGGCTACACTGCGGCCGCTCTCGATGCTCGGGGGAGCGTTGATGCTGCTGCTGCTGCTGTGTGGCGAGACCGCGACTGCGTTTTATCTCCCCGGTGTAGCTCCTCATGATTTTGCCGAGGTTTGCTTCGAATCCCTGCACTCGATGCATCTTTTCTTTCTGTGAGTTGTTGCGCGTTCTTGCCCGTGCGCCGCTCCCAAGGTCGAGTTTGCCAAAGCTGGGTACTAGCGGCTTCGGACTGGCGGCAACGGTGTTCTCTTTCAGCTGATCGATTGCCGATGCGGTTGCATCGACCGATCTGGTCGGGACGGCCTCCGCTGTAATGGTTTGCACCACTTTTCACTGGGGTGCCCGGCCGGCATCATGTTGAAACCCGGGCTTCATGTCTCGTACGAGTTAATCCACACGAGTCTCATGAGTTTCTTCCTTGTGTTTCCAGTGGTCCCAGATTTGTGGTGGTGGCTTGATTGTAGTGGGTAGAAACCGTTGAGGAACAAATGTCGTGCTGTCATGTGCGGAATGTGTTCGCACGTCCACCACCTCGCGGATCTGCGCTCTTTTTGGTCTAATGCAACGATTTCGTTCGGTGCTCACGCAGGGTGCTGACGTTCTGGTGAAAGTCAACAAGATTACTTCAATCAAAACCCAGCTTCCCTATGAATATTATTCCCTGGACTACTGCAAACCCGATGTGATCGATAACGTGGCAGAGAATTTGGGCGAGGTTCTCAGAGGTGACCGCATTGAGAACTCCCCTTATCAGGCAAGATTTCTTGTACAGTAGGATCACGGATCTGGATTTATGTGCTTTCTGGCTACCGTTCTCAATTCCTTGCCTTTTGTTTTCTGGACATTTCCGTAAGTCCGCTGGCTCTTAGAATCTTAGGAATTTTGACTCTTAGGAATCCTACAAGCTGGATCTGGTCGTTGATTTTGTTATTGTACTTGTGCAGTTCAAAATGAAGGAGAGCCAGCTGTGTAAATTTGTCTGCCACAAGAAAAGTGTCTCCGAGAAGGCCGCCAAGGATTTCAAAGAGAAGATAGACGAGGAATATCGAGTGAACATGTAAGTCCTATCATAAAGGCCAATTATATGTGATCTTCTAATTGTGGTGACCATTGAATCTTGCTTATTATCAACTGGCTCAATGATCTATCAAGAGCTTTATGTGATGGTGGTCTAGCTTTACATCGAACATGACACGTTGAGATACTACCTTTTCTTTGCCAACAGGATTCTCGACAATCTTCCGGTGGCTGTGCTTCGCACCAAAGACGAGGATGACATTCCCAAAATGTACGAACGCGGATTTCCCGTTGGTTTCCACGCAGCATTCGAGGTCGGAATTCTTACCTCTTGATTTGCGATCTCTGTCTTCTCTTGGTCTGCAGCATTTCCAATTCAGGTCACTCTGGTTTCTGTATTACTTTCTTATTTGGATAGGCCTTGATAAAGCTAGGTTTTGTCTTCTGCTGTCTGCAGGGTAGTACCGAAGAAAAGTATTACATATACAATCACTTGAGCTTTACGGTGCTGTACCACAAAGATGATGAGTCTGACTCGGGTCGGATCGTCGGATTTGAAGTTATGCCATACAGGTGATTTTTAACCATGATCTGACATTCACACCGTTTACCTGAATGCACTGCATCAGCCTTACATTCCCAATTCTCCCACATTTCCTTCCAAAGTCTATGTTATTTGTACGCACGAAAGGAAGTCCAACTTGTAGGCACTATTTCACTCGTCAACGTAATGTCCGAGAAGTGTTTGCTCCCATGTCACTGCCAGTCTAGTTTTGAAGACTCGGACGTCCTTTCTAGTCTGCCCATGGAGCCGCCGAGCGATTACTGTTTGAGAATGCATGGAAAAGATACTGACTATGATGTCGGGCCTAGCAGCAGAACTCAGCTATTTCTCGTGTTGAGATTTAAGATCCATTGAGTCCTATCGAGTTTTCATTCTGGATTGGTCGTTCTTAGCACGGGGAATACATACCAGTTCAAAGGGAATCATGTGCCAATAGACGAGAATTTTATCGTTGCATTGTATGATTGGATGCTAATATGGCCTTGGTGCAGTGTGGCTCACGAGGTTGACAAGTGGGAAAACAATGTCCCGAAGTTATCTACCTGCAACCCCAACACGAAGCAGTATGTGAGCCAGGTTCAGCCTCCTCAGGAGATTTCGGCCGGCAAAGATGTCATCTTTACCTATGACGTTGAGTTTAAGGTTGGGCCTGCGTCCTAATCTCCTTCGCAAGAGTGGTTATTGTCCTTGGTAATTACGCGAAGCTGTAAACGCTGTTTGCATCTGCAGCTCAGTGGTATAGACGTTCATCCTCTGCGATCTAACTGGTCCTCTTGTTCCTTTTCTCTTTTGCAGCAAAGCGACGTGAAGTGGGCATCTCGATGGGACTCATACTTGTACATGTCTGACGATCAAATCCATTGGTTCTCGATTATCAACTCTCTGATGATTGTCCTGTTTTTGTCCGGCATGGTTGCCATGATCATGATGCGCACACTCCACCGGGATATTTCGAAGTACAACCAGCTCGAGACACAAGATGAGGCACAAGAGGAAACTGGGTGGAAGTTGGTCCATGGAGATGTATTTAGACCTCCAAGCAACGCAGGGCTCTTGTGTGTTTATGTCGGTACAGGAGTGCAATTTTTCGGGATGACTCTTGTGACGATGATTTTCGCCGTATTGGGATTTTTGTCTCCCGCAAATCGTGGTGGTCTGATGACAGCCATGTTGCTGCTCTGGGTCTTCATGGGACTGTTCGCCGGTTATTCTTCTGCAAGACTTTACAAGATGTTCAAGGGCACTGACTGGAAACTGAACACCCTGAAAACTGCGTTTATGTTCCCCGGCCTTGTCTTTGTCATCTTCTTTGTCTTGAATGCTCTTATCTGGGGAGAGAAGTCATCTGGAGCAGTTCCGTTTGGAACTATGTTCGCTCTCGTTTTTCTTTGGTTCGGCATCTCCGTTCCTCTTGTATTCATTGGTAGTTACTTTGGATTCAAGAAGCCATCGATTGAAGACCCAGTTAGAACCAACAAGATTCCCAGACAAATCCCTGAGCAAGCTTGGTACATGCGACCTGTATTCTCAGTCCTCATTGGAGGGATCCTGCCATTCGGAGCTGTGTTCATTGAACTATTCTTCATCCTTACTTCCATCTGGCTCCATCAGTTTTACTACATTTTCGGGTTCCTCTTCATTGTTTTCCTTATTCTGATCGTGACCTGCGCTGAGATCACCATAGTCTTGTGCTACTTCCAACTATGCAGTGAAGACTACCACTGGTGGTGGAGAGCGTACCTTACATCCGGATCATCTGCCTTATACCTCTTTCTTTATGCTGCCTTCTACTTCTTCACCAAGCTCGACATCACCAAGGTTGTATCAGGCGTATTGTACTTCGGATACATGGTGATCATATCTTATTCATTTTTCGTGCTTACAGGCACAATAGGCTTTTATGCATGCTATTGGTTTGTGAGGACGATCTATGCGTCAGTGAAGATTGACTAGGTCAAAAGCAACAACAGCAGCAGCAGCAATCGCAGCCGCCTTCCCGGGATCGGACCATTTTGATGCAGGACCGTGTATATTTTGGACTGCAGGGGTTCTTGGAGGGCCTCATTAAAATGGATCTTTGTGAACCTGATATGTAGACAATTATTCAGAGACATTCGTAAAAGGTAGAGGAAGTTCAAGTGCCCATGTCTACTTCCATCATTGTTAGAACAAAGTACAGTGAGCACAACTACAGTTGATTCATGCCATGGGAGTCCAGTGGGTGAAGCCCTCCTCCAAGGCTTGGAAGACTCCTGTGGAGCATGTTTCTCCATTCTAAGCAGATGTAGGACTTGGGGGACGATTGATGTGAATCAATTGTTGTCCCCTTACATGAAATTGAACTCCAAAGTGGTGTGCCAGTTCCTCTGTACGTCTAGTTAGGTTACCACGAGGTCACATGAAGGATTCTTTAGTTCAGAAATTTTCCAGTTTGGTATGTGTCTGCTTTAGTGTATGTCACTGGTCAAATCAATGAGGTTTTTATAGAGTATGGAGTAAGCTGCTGGTAATCTTGGACACAGGAATATTCAAGCGTATAAATTGTTGGACCACGGATGGCCTTTCAACTACTCTTTCACAGTCGGAATGCAAGAGAATTTTCTGATGAATAATTGTTACTCTCTCCAGTCCTAGATGTGAATTTCTTTTGTTTCTGCGTGAAGGGTATTCTAGAAATGCTGTTCAGTCGTACTCCTTCGTTTCCCTTTCGCTTCTGTCCCGTCTAACCTAAGTTCGGAATCTTTTTTAATCAGCACGGTAAGGCCTGGGGGTAGCAGGAGAGGCATATGCTAGTGCAGTGTTTTTTAAGCAAAGGTTTACTACGACTGTCTAGAAATTGGATCTGGTGTGAAATCTTCTCGTGCGCAGGTTGAATCCTGAGTTTCTCCTGACCACTGGAACATTTTCAGGTGAAGTAATCAACGAGTTTCTTCAATTTCTTTCAGCTGTTTGGAACTGGCAAAGTTAGCTCTTGATGAGCTCAATTTGATCAGATTTCAGGTCTGGTTTCTTTCCGTCAAGTTTGAAACCGGCTAATGGTGTAATCGTTGTAATCTAAGTCCTGGAGGAGAAACAGCTGGACCTAAACCTCTGGACATGATATTCATAACAAAAAATGTTCATATGCTAACGATTGAATAGTTATATCGGCCTCTTTGTATGGAGTGTGTACGCATGCACAATACTTCGACGTCTGCCGACAATGTCCGAAGAGCCCTTAAGGTTCCATGCAACGTGGATTGTACAAACTAGTATTTATGGATGTATTCTTCGCAAACGAAATTGTCTAATGAAAGCCTCCTGCCACCTAAATGTTAATCGCTGCGACGTATTGGGACTGGAATTAACTAGCTAGAATGTATTTTAATAATGTGAACGAGAAGAAAATTTATTATCAGTAATAGCAGATGTAATCATTTCCCACAGAAGCCTCGAAAATTTCACGTTCTGGCTGATGGAGAGCATGGTTCACAACCAAAATCACACAGCGCTGAGCACTAAGTTCCATCCATTTCTCAATTTGATGCAAGATTTTGTAGTTACCAAAAAGTTAAGAAGAATTGCGACTCATTTGGAACAAGTCATGTGTAATATCTCTTTCTGAGCAAACCAGTTGTACTAACTTGGGGAATAAGAAAAAAGTTAAGAGAAGAAAAGAAAACTAATCTTGTGATGTGTGCCAACTTGGGATCCAGCCTGGTAAAATGTTGTACGGGAGATGGCTATGAAAAAAACACTCGGCCATTGAATATATTTTTATCACACATTCTGTGTTTCACGTTCAAAGGAAGAAACTAGTGAAAGACTTGGTTTTGCAGTTAAGCAATGTGATCCGAAAGTACGATTATACTTCTCTGTGAAGTAACCCTAAGTAAAACCAAATCGTTAGTTTGAAATTGACACAAAGCAAGGTCCCTTGCTCGCATTCTGAAGATGGCGTGTGATGTAATTAAAGGTTGATGAAACGAGCACAAAATGTTGGAAGGCAAAATAATAGTTTTAAAGCTGTGTATCGAAGTCATGTCATTTTATCCTGCGTTACAAAGGTGCAGAAGGGAAGAATACGTATTTGCATCAGAGGTCATATTTAAGTCCAGCCGTTGTATAAACAATAATCGCAGAGCGGGCTGTTTTTCCTCACCTACTCTGTTACTGCGAACCACATCGTAAATTAACAAGTGAAGGAAATGAAATAAAAACAAGAGCCTGAACTGAGGAGCCAAAGTTTGTCCGAGACTTGTTCCGGACCCCACAAACCTGTTAACCGCCGTAAGTTTGCTTGCATGCGAATCAAAGAGCCTTATTCGAATTGAAACTCAATCTTGCATTATCAAGAACTACTTCGGGTGGTTTAGTGTTCTTAAAAAAGATATTATTAGGAAATGATTAGAAAGTTCAATAATTACGTCGAAGAAAAGCAAGTATTGAGTGAATCTTTGATAGGTTACAAAGAAACATAATTCTAGTCCCAAGGCATCCTCATCACTGGACTATATACATGTTCATCTTACATCCCAAATACATGAAATTATCCAACTGAATTTTGAACTCCAGATTTTTTCATTTGGGATGAAGGCCCACTGTCAATAAATTTAGTATTTCCATATCAATTTCCATTTTTGGTGGGTATGAGTCGAAAGGATAAGCTACACGTGATCGTTACTGTAAGAAGTTATTCTCATGATCCAATTTTTTTGTATAAGATTACAAGTTTGTGTACATCAAGTGTATACATTAGAGTGTTTATATTAATACTTTGTAATGCACACAAGCAACATTAAAGTCTCTCTCGATATATCTCCTTTAAGTAAGTGTCACTAAATGTTAGAGAAGGTCGTTTTATATAAGGAGTGGTGATGAGAATATTGACTTTTCTCAAAAAGTCAAAATTATCAAAAAAGCCGTGGACAAGCGATGTTATAAAAATACATTTCCAGATACGTGCACATTTATTTTATTAAGATGAAAGACCAGTAAGCACGTTAAAATCCCTTCTTTTATTATCTGAGGGATAGATTATAATACTGGTATAGCCTAAGAAAGAGTACTTCCACATGAAACAGGATTGAACACTCAATCAGGAAACATTTTCTGAAGGGGAAGTTTTCTTTTAATGGTTACTGAAACTCATGAACTTCCCTCATGCAGTCCAGTCATAACACACAATTCCCCTTCGCATGTTAACACAATGCAGTCACGTTAGATTTGAGGTATGTACAACTTCAATGATTTGCTCAAATTACTGAATAATCTAATTGCATCTTATCATATCGAGTTGTTTTGCGCGGTGGTTTGGCAAATCTTTTCACCACAAAAGTTTTATGATGGATGAAACCCTAATTGACTTATAGATTGTAAAAAAATGTAAGTGTGGTCATCAATTTCAGGTCTAAAACTACGCTATACAAAGAGTGACTTTTATCTTCGTACTCGGGTTGTATTCAGTCCACATGGATGTTAAGTACAGAGAGTTGACGGAAATGTGGAATGTCCTTTGTCCTTTGGTGTAATGTACTTTCGAGCAATGTGTAACAATCAGAAGACTGAAACTTCGCACCAAAAGAGTGTGTGTTAATACACGAGGATTATCCATGTTTTCCAAATAAAGTAAAAGGTTGTATGTGATAGTCCAAATTATGTCTGTCTACATCCACATATGCATTATTGTACAATCGAATGTTGCCCAGCCTCTCCTGTCATGGAATCGAAATTCCACTTACCAGGATGAGAGAGTGGGTTTGTGCTTCGCACTGTAATAAACACACTAATTCCATCACTTATCCATAGCCTATTTAAATTAGTCACATGACTAATCTCAAATAAATTAGACACAAATCCCAAATAAGATTAGTAATCATCATTAAAAGAAGCTGAAAACACTAGAATAGGCAAATTTTATTGCTTAATCTTACACTAAAGATCATGTTGTTTGCATTGGAGAAATTTTTTCAAAGAACAATCAACCAATGACATGTTGAATACATTGTGTTGTTGAAATTATGTAATTTCAATATTAAAAAGTCACTTTTGACTGGTGATGAGTTGAGATACGGCCAAATCATACCATTAATGAAGTCGATCTGAAGATTGAGACGGCTTGACAGACCGGGTAGTGCCCTATCTCCCACTATTGTCAAACCAACATTGATGATTGCATGATTTGATAGTGTACTTACAATCTAAATTATTCTTGTACATGGCATGGAGCTTTGCTTTGAAATCTTGAAGATATCGGATAACATCAACTAAACTAAACTTCTGTTGGAAAATAAGACAGCTGATATCACAAACTTTAAACTTCACTAGTTTACAAGACTAAACTGGCAGACACTCGCTACTAGAATCAAGTTCAAATCACATTTTCACGTAATACATAAATCTATAGACAATATCAAAAATAAAAACACACCGTTACAAAGAAATAAGAACTGAGTTGCTTCAATGAAACTGATAATTGTCATCAAAGCAAAATGACCAATTTTTTCTAAGAAGTCAATGAAAAAAGCCGATCAATAGTTTCAGATGACATGAATGAACTCATATTATTAACGTTGAGATCACGAGAAGCATCTATGATGAGCATTTAGTCAGAGATCAATTGTTGAATGTTTATCGGTTGTTGGCTAAGCATCACACTATGATATTAAAGACGCATCACCGTCGTGTGTATGTAATTTGTGATAATTCTTGTGAAGATCTTTCGAATTCAATAGATTTCACTTTTAGGTTGAGATGCATGAGGAGAATAACATACTAAAATCTCAAAGTAATGGATATTAATCACGTGGTAATGATCATTGAGCCAATTTATGGATTTGAATATGTCATGGGATTGAATTGCAGAGGTCTTGAGACAAGTCAACTTCATCTTGAAAATAGATGTCTATTGTCGGTGCGAATGCAAGATCATGGCTATTAGTATTTCAAACCATGCTTCAATATTGAATTTCAAATATACTTCCTATGGCAAAAAGTTGAATTTGGAACAAACATCACACACACAAATATTTAATTTCATGAAACATTGTTGCAATTGCGTGATGACATCAACAACATGACCAATAATGTGTGTAGCTTTGTCAAAATATGCATCAATCAATTAAAATCTCCAATTTTTTAAAAATCATGTCAAATAATCAGCAAAGTATTTTAAACAAGTACTAACCAATATGAGATTTTAAAATGAGATTGAAATGAAATGCAAATAATAGGAACTGATGATGTCAAATTAAACATAGACAGACATTGATGTATGAGATATCCAGCTAGTTGAAAATATCAAAAACTATCAAAAAATTCTACACCATGCGAATAATATCAATAATAATCTAGAAGTTACCATTGTATTAAACATTTATAAATGTAGTGATGTTCAATTCTATCTATACATTAAGTTTAGAAATCATTGCAATTTGCTTGATTGCATGAAGCCCTAATGCAATTTGTGTAAGACGGGGTTACAAAAATTAATATCAATAAGAATATAATTTATTGCAAGGTGATATGCCATTATAATATTGATCACCATGCAATAATTATCCATGTCATGATCAAATTTGAACACACAAATATCATTTTATAACTTTGATTTTCAACATCTTTGAGAT